ATTTGTTGTTTAAATAAGTAGCTGAATGTTAATCTGTATTTTAACTCAATTTTGAGATGAACCAGGCATGAAATTTTTTGCTCAATTGTGTCTCACTAGTTAGTAGCTGAAAACAAATAAATAAATAATTAAGTTAATATAGATTTACTAGTTGGTCAGTAAAGAAGTTGAATGTGTTGAATGACAATGAAAGATGAAAATGAATTTTTCAATATTATGATGCCAAGCCATTGAATAAATGTATTCAGAAGTGTACATGAATCTGTTGAATAGAAAATACGAGGTTATTAGCCTTTCACATTTAAAACGGTGTTCTAGAGAAAGAGAGATTTATTTTTACTCATGATGGGACAAGTAAAAATGAGAACCAACCTCAAGAGGTTGGGAATCATGATCATATTTATATTTAAATATATATTTTATTTTAGCCCATCATTAAATAAGTTTAATACATAATTTCTACACCTTCATACAAATTTTGAGATTTCTCGTAAGCTAAATAATTAAATTTTATTTGGTCATGGTTTTAGAGTCAGGAATATTAAGGGTCCATTTGGGGCAGTTTTTCACCCAGCACAGATAGGTTGCCACGCATTTTCATCGTTTGGGGTCTTCTTGTTTTTTTTACTCGCTTGCCCCTTGTTTCGATCGCGAGTTCGTCTTATGTACTTTTCTTTTCTATGGAGCTTCAGCTTCATCTTCCCTAACCTGTCGTGTCGGACACCATTTTCTTCCGATATCCCTTGTCCTTATATTTTTTTTGAGACATTTTCGTTTCTCGTGGATTTGCACTGTATGGATTTAGCTGTGTTTTTTTTGGTTTGGTGTTTCTATCTGGTGATGGTGCTCTAGTTTGATGTGGTGGATTTGTATGTGGTTTTTTTTCTTTTGTGCTCCTGTTTTGCAAAACTTATGCTTAGAAAAGCATCTTTTTCAATCACACACACAATCTATGAAGTGAGGCAGCGAAATAGATATCCTTAGACAATTACTGTGAAAATATATCATGCATAGCTATTGATACATGGGGCATATTATGAGATTTTATTGAGAGAAAATGCAACTTATCATCTTCGTCATCATTTTTATGCCCACTGCTAGGAAACATATGTAGAATTTCATGTTTTGTTACTGAAATTCAGTAGTAATACTACTTGGAACATTCTTATGACAAAAAAAACATATTTTTCAATTACACAGACACTCTGAAATGAGGCAGGGAAATAAATAGTCTCAGACAATTATTGTGAAAGCATATCATGCATATCTACTGATAACCCTTGGGCATATAATGAGAAATTATTATGAGAAAGGGAACTAGTTCATTTTTTGCCATCATTTTTATGCTCACTGCTAGGAAACATATGTAGAATTTTATGTGTTGTTATTGAAATTCAGTAGTAATACCACTTGTAGCATTCTTTTGACAAGAAAAGTATATTTTTCAACCACACACACACTCTGAAGTGAGGCAGAGAAATAGATAAACTCAAAATATGACTATGAAAACATATCATGCATAGCTACTAATACCTTTTAGGGGCATATAATGAGAAAATATTGGGAGAAAGGGCAACATATCATCTTTGTCATCATGTTTATGCTCACTGCTATAAAATATATGTAGAATTTCATGCATTATTACTGACATTTCGGACTAATACCACTTGAGGCACTCTTAGGATTAGAAAAGCATATTTTTCAATCACACACACACTCTGAAGTGAGGCAGGGAAATAAATAACCTCAGACAATTACTGTGAAAGCACATCATACATAGCTAATGATAACCCTTGGGCATATAATGAGAAATTATTATGAGAAAGGGCAACAGATCATTTTTGCCATCATTTTTATGCTCACTGTTAGGAAAAAATATGTAGAATTTCATGCATTATTATTGAAACTTAATAATAATACCACTTGGAGCATTTTTATGACAAGAAAATCATATTTTTCAATCACAAACACACTCTGAAGTGAGACAGGGAAATAGATAGCCTCAAAATATGATTGTGAAAGCATATCATAGCTACCGATACCTCTTGGGGCATATAATGAGAAAATCTTGGGAGAAAAGGCAACATATCATCTTTGTCATCATGTTTATGCTCACTATTAGAAAATATATGTAGAATTTCATGCTTTATTACAAACATTCAGGACTAATACCACTTGAGGCACTCTTAGGACTAAAAAAGCATATTTTTCAATCACACACACACACACACACGTTGAAGTGAGGCAGGGAAATAAATAACCTCAGACAATTAATAAATAACCTCAGACAAAATAACCTCAGACAATTACTGTGAAAGCACATCATACATAGCTAATGATAACCCTTGGACATATAGTGAGAAATTATTACGAGAAAGGGCAACAGATCATTTTTGTCATCATTTTTATGCTCACTGTTAGGAAAAAAATATGTAGAATTTCATGCATTATTACTTAAATTCAATAATAATACTTGGGACGCCCTTAGGACAAGAAAACATATTTTTCATATTTTGTTACTGAAATTAAGAACTAATAACACTCGGGACGCCCTTAGGACAAGAAAACATATTTTTCAATCACACACACAATCTATGAAGTGAGGCTTTGAAATAGATATCCTCAAACAATTCTGAGGATTTGTCTCTATACTTTTTTTACGGTAGAGTTGCATGAAAACCCAACCTGCAGAGATTTTTTCATCAAGATTCCAAAAAAAAGGGCAGCGTATCTACTACATTTTTTTGATCAGAGGGACATTTGGGACACTTTTTTATGTTTTTTTATTCCTTGGGACACATTTATTTCTGCATTTTATCATGTAAGGATTTGGTTCTTGGAACTGCTTGATACTTTGCTGGATAATATTCATGCATCCTCATTATCATAAATCATCATTATTCAGATTTCATGACTGATTGGGACGTGGTTTGTTCATAATTTGTTAATTATTTTGTGTCAGCTAGTATGATATACACCTAAATGGATGCAGCCACATAAAGGCAGAGAAGGAGAGCTGCATCAATGTACTTGATCCACGAATATTAAAACACATACATTGATCGCTCTCCATGCTTGACACGTCATATATTGGTGACAAATGGGTTGGAGAATTATTTTCTAGACACCCAACGAGATTTAAGAACATGTTCCTCATGTGACATGAGATATTTAATGATCTTTTAACAGAAATTAACAGATTTCATGAACTTCATGGATCATCAAGGACGACTCCACGAGAGGTATTAGCGATAACACTCTACATATTATCACAAAATGAGTAAATGAGAGGAATAATAGAAAGATTTAAACACTCGTCTGAGAATATAGAGTTTTCTTTAAAAATCTCAATATCAATTCCACAGGGAAGCGAGGTAAGAATTCCCTTAGGCTAATTCTAATTTACTACAATTAGGTCTTAGTTTGGAATTTTTGAAAATTTTGATTTTCCTAATTTCACTAATTTACTCTAAAATTAAAGTTAAATAAATTAAATATTAACCTAATTTAAGGAGACACATTAAATTTTATGAAGTTCATATATAATCAAAATCTCTTTTCCCTTGAAATGAGATCATAATTAGTGTAGAAATCAAATATTTAAAAGTTAAATATAGTTTTGTGTCAAATAGGAGCATACATATTATTTACCCTCTTCCGAGTGCATAATGTACATTGGCTAATGTAAGTAAGTTCCTAATTGATATGATTATGCTGAGTAGGTTCTAGTCTGTCACTTTCAAATTACCCATTGTATCGTCTCTATAGGACTAACCAGGCCTCAGGTTCCAACTCTAGATCAAATTGATTAAGAATCTAGCCTGTCACCTTAGAAACATCAACTTACGCCCATCAAAACTTATCTCCCTATCTTTTTTCACTCCCCCTTAAACTAAGTCTCCTCCCATCCTAAGGGTTATTGTGGTATTCACTAGTTGTGTGAAATCACAGCCCTCCCAGATTATTATGTTTCAAAATGGATTTTAACATTAAAAATGACCAATTTGTAAAGTAAATTAAAACTAGTGAAAATACTATCACAATTTTGGAATAAAAGAAATTTTCAAACCATTCTATTCCCACATATGATTAATTATCATCACAAGGAGAAAAAGTAAGGAAAACTACTCACTAAACATGGAGAAAACTTGATCCCGATATTCTTTTTTATATGTAGAATTTAAGAAGTAGACACTAATACTTGAAGATTTTAATCCCAGGTAATGACATTGAAAACTTGATCCCAAGCAAAGTAAGATTTCAATTATATTTCTAGGAATTCTACACAAGTATACGTATCGTTATCAAGTAATATAGAGCTTTCTGATTAAACCATGAATATCACCATGAATATCGATCAAACCATGAATATCGATCTTACAAAGATCGAGGTTAATCACATCGGTTTTCAAGAGAAGTTCTAGTTTTGAATAAC